CCCCCACTGATCCAGGAGGGGGATGAGCCACCATAGCCCCCCCTGAATACGCCTCTGGATGATAACATAGATCTGTTTTAAGAAATTTACAAACATATTTCAAAATGGAGGGAGATTTGAAACAAAACTAATCAGTTTTAAGGATAAATTCGTTTAGAATTAGAAGTGCCAGGCAAAATCAATGAATTGATTAAGCGACTAAATAGTATTTACATATAAACTACATAGAAACGTACAAAAAATTTTGATTTTAAATCGTGAAAATTTCGAAGTTCTATCTGAAGACGACATTTACATGGGTCTTTAGTCTATTTTTTCTAGTCTTTACTTTCCAAACGAAATCTTTTCATGAAATTATTTCCAAACCAAATAAAACCTTATGGCCCAACCTGTCGTCGTTTCCTTAGTCTGTTCCACTTTAGTATTTATTCACTTTGATATGTACATCCCTGCATGTGCATTGCTAAATACTACATACAAGCCTTTACTAGCATCACAGATCCAACATATTAAGTGAAATTCTTTGAACAAATGTTTATATTTAAAGGAAAGTAATGGAAAAATAAAAAGGTGGTATGGTGTGAAACCTAAGTATCTTAGGAGTTGATTGAGACCCATAAGAGTTCTATCTGATGTCTCCAGAAATTGATATAAAACTGTGACAAATTTATCCAAACATTTAAATATATTTTGAAAATTTGAAACTTAAAACATGTGACCTGAACTCCCCCCCTCCCCCATGGAAGTGCAGTATACTGGTCACATGTCTCCGTCTATATCGCATGACCAGTATACTGCAATACCATTGGTGGGAGTTCTGGTCACTTAATATGGACATGCACATTTTAAAACAACAATCAGCTTGTTTTCACTTTCTGTTTACAAGTGTTAACCCTGGCCCAGGGACCCCCACCCTATATTTCCTTATTGTGATACAAATCAATAACATTTGATAAATTTTCAAAAAGCCCTTGGGCTCTACTTTAATAATTTGCAATATTTATTGCAATTTAAAGTTATCAGGCAACTAATGTGCATTAACAAAAAGTGCGCAAAAAATGATAAATGTTACAAAAACAAAATTTCTATTCAAGAAAAACTGAGTATGTGCAAATTCTCTTTAAAGGCATCTGTGCAAAAAAAAACAATTTTTAGCAAAAAATTGTGCAATCTGCTATCTTTTGTTCAAGGATTTCCAAAGAGCTATACAAAATCAAAATCCACCGGAAGTAGGTCTAAATACAGATTAAGTCAGGAAATGGTAAAATAAAGAATTTAGCCCCACTTTAATTCTAGATTGAGTGGCATGTGTTAGTTAGAAAAGTCAAAAAATTTGAACAGCCTCAGGCCAACACTTTTTTAGTTCTTCAAAAAACCTCCCAGCTGTAATAGGGTTAGATGGCAAAATGCTGATTGTTCTTTTAATGAAAAACATTCTTAAATATATATATTAAATCCTTATTGTCTCATTGTTGTCATGTTCATAGCCCAAATTTTCAAGGCCAGCTCAATAAAAAAAATTAGATCGATAGCTTTTATATTTTGGGTGAAAAGGAGGGTTGAAAAAAAGGTAACAAAATGTTAGAAATATTTTTTGTTCTGTTTTAAACAAATATCAATGAATATTTCAGAAAAGGAATATTGTAAAACTATAAAAAAAGGCACATTTTTAATTTTAGTTTTAGTTCTATATATAGGTGTGTAAATTTTGCATATTAAAATTAGATTGGGTTTTCGAAAATATATAATTTCTCATATTTTGAGCTAAATTAGTTTTTGCATATTCATTGCTCAACAAGATATCTTGAAAATTCTTAAAATAGAAACCAAATATTTTCCAAAAACATATGAAAAATTACAGATGAGTACAGTGATAACCAGAAAACTGTAGAATAGGAAGACAACATTAATGCAATACTGAAGTGTATTTGATGTTGTTACAAGGCAAATACTTTAACTAGTAAGTTATACAATTAATAATTAAGTAAAATGGGTCTGTTTACAATGCACATTGCTGTACATTATGTTCATTATGTACATAAATGTTGACTTCCTATTTAACAGTTTTCTAGTTATCACTGTATCACAATAATTTGTGATGCCAGTAGAAAGGGCCGGTCTTTGAACAGGATTCACCACAAAGGATGAGACTTTAATGATGAACTAAGACTCTTTAATTTGTAACTCTTATGTTTTGAGGTTTAACTTCATCCTCTGTATATGATTTTGTCTTTGATGTTTAATTATAAACAATCAATGTAAAACCAAGAACTGAAAATACTTTTTTACAGTTGTTTGTAAAGTCTCATTGTTTTATCAAGTGAAAAAGTAACAAAGAAAAAGAAAACATTGTTAGAATATAACTCTTTTCCCCATGGAAAACTTAACAATATCTTTCTGACGGTTGCTCAGATAAAGGTTCACAGGGCACAGTTTTAAACTTTTACATGTTTAAGTATGGTTGTGAAGAAAGAAGGGATGATTTATATATCTCTGGACACTATGATTGTTGAAAACGCTGAAGAGAAGAACTTGTTGTGTTTAAATATTATTCATTAATTGAAATTTGGCATTAAAAGTTAAAGTTGTATATTTTATTTCAAATTCCTGATATAAACTAATTAAAAAACTTATTGTATTTTATGAGTTTATAACTT